AAACCCAGTCTGGACTTCTGGAAATTCTCTGCTGATGTACTGTTCCAATCGTTTTTGGATAATCTTCAGTAGAATCTTGCTTGCATGTGAAATCAATTATATTGTTCTGTAGTTTCCACACTCAGCTGGGTCACCCTTCTTTGGAATGGGAACAAATATAGATCTCCATGCATGGCAGAGATGGTGAAATCCCGGGCATGCATTTTTTCAGTGAGCCAGTCAACCTTCCTTTGGGTGTTAATGAAGATGACGGCCTGGGTGGTCATTAATGTTTCGTACAAATCACAGTGTGTCCAGCTTCCACTCCTCACGTTCCACATTGATATAGAATTGGCGGATACCCTCCAGGGTCAGTTCTTCTTCTTGACAAGAATCAGAATGGGGTCCCTCATGAATTTCTTGGTCACTTCAAGCACATCAGAAGGCATTGTGGCTGATAACAAAACACCTGGGTGTTGCTGTTGAGCTTCTGGAATATGTCATAGATCTGGTCCTTGAACCCACGGCTTAACATTTCACCAGCTTCATCCAGCACAAACATTTTTATGTATTTGGGAGAAAGGTATCTTCGATTAAGCATATCAAATACACGGCCTGGGGTACCAACAATGATGTGCGGAGCCTCCATCTGCAGTTTCTGTACTTCAGCACGTACATTGGTGCCCCCAATGCAGGCATGGCAGGAGGCACCCATGTAATCTCCTAATGCCATTACCACCTTCTGTATCTGCTGGGCCAACTCTTGAGTGGGAGCCAGGACCAAAGCCTGGGTGGCCTTCAGATCCAATTCTATCTGCTGTAGAATTGATATGGCAAAAGTGGCTGTTTTCCCAGTCCCAGATTGGGCTTGAGCAATCACATCATAACCCATGATACAAGGAAGAATGGCTCGCTGCTGTATGGCAGAAGGCTTTTGAAAACCATAGGCACAGATGCCTCGGAGAAGGGACTCAGAGAGGTTCATGTCATCAAAGCTGTCAACAATTTTATTCCAATTACTCTCGATGACACCTTCTGGCTCCATTCCATTGGGGCCATTGTCTCTGGACCGGGAATCCTGACTCGCAGACACGATCCTTAGAAACTAGCAGAAACCAATCTTTGGAGAGAGATGTCATGCTTGGGAGGGTGAAGGGACAGCACAGGAGAGGAATACCCTCAATGAGATGGATTGATTCAGTGACTGGGGTAATGGGGATAGGTGTGTCAGAGATAATAAGATTGGCACAAGATAAAGCACAGTTTAGGGCTGTTGTACATAGGGTCTCTATGAGTCGCAGGCAAGTCCACGGCACACGTGCCGTTGAGTCAACTGCAACTCTTAATGACCATATAAACAGATCTAAACCCGAACCTACCTTGTGCCATCCTTGTCAACTCCGATATTTGTTACTGATGTGTACAGTCAAGTCAGAAATCTACTGAAAGCTGTCCCTCCAGCAGGTTTTCAGAGGTAATAAATCACATTGGAAGGAGATTACTCATATTTTTCCATCAGAGTACCTGGTGTGTTTGAACTGTGTACCTTTGTGTTGGCAGTGTACAAGCAATTCCTTAACACTGAACCACGAGAGGTATTTCCTGATATATATTATTATTGTTAGGTACAATCGAGTTGAGTACAACTCATAGCAACCCTCTGAACAACAATTCTGAACCTTGTCCTATCCTGTGCTTTCCTCACACTTGAGCACATTACTGCAGTCACTCTGTGAAAGTGGTGATGGTCTTCCTCTTTTTTGCTGTCTCTCCACCTTCCCAATCATCATATCCCTCTCCAGTGAAGAGCCTCTCCTAGCAACATCCCAAAGTATGTGAGACAGAATTTATCATCTTTGCCTCCAAGTAGCAACATGGCTGGACTGTCTCAGAGAATTATCTGCTCTTTTGCCAATCTTTGGGCTACTCAGTATTCTTCTCCAGTAACACAGTTCAAAGACATTAATCCTTCTATCATCCTTATTCATTGCCCAGCCCTCAGCAACACAGCATGTTATTGAAAAGACTGTTGCATGAATATGGTACACCTTAGTCCTCAAACTAACAGCTTGATATATGTAATTCACAGTATATTCAATATTCTTCATCAATGCCATAATGCAAAGATATCAATTCTTTGTCCGTTTTTCAACTTTCACATTCATATAAGGCAATTGAAAATGCCGTGACTTGAGTCAAGTGCAGTTTAGTCTTTAGACTGGCATCCTTGCTGTTTAGAACTTTAAAGAGGTCCTTGACAGCCAATTTGTCCCATAAAATGTTTGTTGTTGATTGTCTTTGAGTCAAGCACGACTCATAGCAACAATATGAACAAAAGGCCTGAAGCCTTTCCATATCTCTTGTCATTTATCCCTGTCTTAAACCGGGAGCTCCAACAAACACTGTCCACCATGGGTAACCATTATGGCATTTGACACCCCAGTGGCACAAGGTTCAGAATCATAGCAACCCCAGGTTACTTCAGTACAGCATATTGACAGAAAAGTGCTGTACCGCTTAGAAGAATGTTCCTCCAAAATATGAAAACAACCAACTTTAAATACTAAAGCCCTCCTTGAGGACTTGTTGATTCTAAACAAGAGGTTTAAATTTAAAAAAAAAAAACACGAATATAGTATGTTGTTCTTTCTTTATTTTATTACTTTTTTATTATTATTAATTTCAATGAACATCTACAGAGATTTTGGAATTCCATTCATTCATTGTTGCACTTTTCTCCGCACCCACTCACCCCCACCCCCACCCCCAGGTCACTCCTCTACTTGAAAAGCAAAAGAAAAACTCCTTCATTGGTACATAATCTCCCCCCCCTCGAACCTCCCCACTCCCACCCCAAGTATACTCCACTTTGCAACCCTCATTCTGGACTCTTGTGATAATCATAATGCCCTAAAATATATTAATTTTAAACTATTCTCTCCCTCATCGGCTTTAATACAGTAACATAATTTATCCAGTTTTTCTCAGTCTTACCCCCACCCCAGTGTCAGCCTCATTCTACAACAGTGGCACCATATAATATTTGTCCTTTTGTGACTGAGATATTGTACTTAGCATAATGTCCTCCAGGGTCACCCATTTTGAATAATATTGCATGAGTTCCTTGTTTTTCAAAGCAGCGTTGTATTCCATTGTGTGAATATACCACAGCTTCTCTATCCATTCCTTTGTTGATGGGCACTTAGATTGTTTCCAACTCCTTGCTACTGTAAACAAAGCTGCAATAAACATGGGTGTGCATATATCTGCATGGATGTCATTTATGGTCTCTTTAGGGTATATTCCCAGTAGTGGAATTGGTATGTTGTTCTTATTATATGTCACTGAGTTACCTGCAAACCCTTCTCACTAATTCCGACACACAAACCCCCGCTGCCCCAGATAGGGGTCTTCTTCTCCTGCGCTGTCCCTCCACTTTTCCGAGCATGATATCCTTCTCCAAGGACCAGTCTCTCCTGACCACATGCCAAAAGTATGTGAGAGGGAATTTCAAAATTCTAGCCTCAGGGAGAAACTTAAGTTTCACCCTCTCAAAGATAGATCTATTTGATTTTTTGGCTGTCCACGGTATACACAAGACTCTTCTCCAGCACCACATCTCAGCTTGATCTCAGCTTCTTCTGTCATCCTTAGTCATTGTCCACTTCTCTGAAGTGTAACAAGTAATTGAGAAGACTGTGGCCTGCATCAGGCACACCTTTGACCGACATCATTTCTCTTCAGCAATTAATCTTTTTATTTTCTGACTGCTAGTGTCAAGTGTTGACTGTGGATCTGAGCAAGCTGTAATTGCTCCTTCCCTTCTCCGTCTATGATGGTGCTGTCAACTGGCCCAGTGGTGAGAATATTTGTCTTCTTGATGTTGAGCTTCAATCCATATCGAAGACTATAGTCCTTGACCTTTTGCGGCAAGTGATTCTGGTCTTCTTCAATTTCAGCAAGCAAGGTTGTGTCATCTGTATATAATAGGTTGTTGACGAGTCTTCCTCCAATCTTGATGCCACACTCCTCCGTATAAAGCCCTGCTTCCTGAATGATCTGTTCTGTATACATATTGAAAAGGTACGGAGACAGGATGCATCTCTGGTGCACTCCTTTCCTGATTTTGAACCATGTAGTGTTTCCTTGCTCTGTTCTAAGTATTGCTTCTTGGTCCAAGTATAGGTTGCATAAAAGCACTGTTATGAGATTCCCATTTTCCTCAAGGCTAGCCAAAATTTATTGTGATCCACACAGTCAAATGCCTTTGCATAGTCAATGAAACACAGATAGACATTGACAATAATGTCCCTAGTTCCATGACCTCTTCTAAATCCAGCTTGTATTTCTGGTAGTAGCTCTCTGTCAATATACTGTTCCAGTCATTTCTGGATAATCTTCAGCAGGATTTCGCTTGTGTGTGATATTAGTGATAATGTTCAATAATTTCAACATTCTGTCAGGTCACCTTTCTTTTTTGGAATGTGAATAAATATGGATTTCTTCCAGTCAGTTGGTCAAGTAGTTGTCTTCCAGACTTCCTGGCACAACTTGGGGAGCACATCCAGGGCATCATTTGTTTGCTGAAATAGGTCAATTTGTATCCCATCAATCTCTGGGGCTTTATTTTTTGCCAAGTCCTTCAAAGCAGCCTCAACTTCCTCCTTCATCATCATTTCCTCTTGATCATATGTTGTTTCTTGAAAGTCTTCTTTCTCAGCCAATTCTTTTTGATACAATGACAATGTATACTTCTTCAATCTTATTTTTATGTTTCTTAAATCATTCAATATTCTGCCGATAACATCCTTAAGCATTGCAATTCATGGCTTGAGTTTATTTTTCTTTCAGCTTAAGAAATATTGAATGAGTTCAGCCCTTTTGCTTGCACATTTCATTATAATATTTTGCCTTGTCTTCTGGAGCAGTCCTTAGAAATCTTCTATTCACCTCTTTATTCATGATTTCTTCCCTTTGTTTTAGCTTCTTGGCACTCTAGTGCAATATTCAGAGTCTCTTCTGGTGTCCATTTTAGTCTTTTCTTCATTATAATGACTTTTCACATTCTTCATGAACAATACTCTTGATATCTCCCCACAGGTTATCTGGTCTTTGTTCATTAATATGCAAAGCCCCAAACCTATCCCTGAGTTGGTATTTAAATTCGTGGGTGATAGATTCAAGGTAAAATTTTTATTCCTGTGGATATGATTTAAACTTCCTTCATTTTAATTTGAACTTTCATATGAGCACTTGATGGTCTGTTCCACAATCAGCACATAGCCTAGTTTTCACTGCTGATATTGAGCTTCTCCAACGGTTCCTTCCACAGATGTAATCTGATTCCTGTGCATCCCACCAGGTGAAATCTATGTATATAGACTGTGTTTATGTTTCTTAGAAAAGGTATTTGCTATGAATAAATCATTGATTGTACAGAATTCTATCATTTTATCCCCAGCTTCATTTCTGTCACCAAGTACATATTTTCTGACAACTCATCCTTCTTCCTGGTACCAAACTTTTCAATTCTAGTCATCCGTTATTATGAATGCATCTTGGTTACAAGTTCTATCTATTTCTGACAGTGACATTTGATAGAAATAATCTATTTCCTCCTCTTTCGCTCTGGTTGTAGGTGAATAAATTTGAATGATAGTGGTATTAACAGGTCTTCCTTGTATGTGTATGTATTTTATCCTGTCACTTACAATATTGTATTTCAATGTGAATCTAGAAATGGCCTTTTTAACTATGAAAGAAACCTCATTTCTTTCTCACCTTTTCATCTCCAGCATAATAGATATGATCGTGGAATTCAAAATGTCCCATGCCAATCCATCTCATTTCGTTAATACCCAATATATCAATATTTATACATTCCATTTCTTTCTTTAAAATGTCTAGCTTTTGTTCATACTTCTCACATTCCACGTATGATATGTCAATTTCTTCTTAAAACTGTCTCTCCTTCTACAAACAGGAGAGAATAAAATAGATGAACGAGACCTTCTAAGAATTAAATCCCTATGCACATCCAAAAACTACTCCAACAGAGTAAAAAGAGAAGGTACAAATTGGGAAAATATTTGGTAATGACATGTC